GAGATTTGGGAGATGCACCCCTTGGTCATGTGATTAAATGAAGCCATTCCTATCCTCTCACTTAGACACACTGGGATTGTGGTGCAGCTGGTTGAGTGTCAGCTGCATTAAGATCACTCTGACCAAAGGTCATGAGTTCGAAGCCAGCCCAGGTTGGGGTGGGTTTCCAACCAATTGTGTATAGCCTGTTGTCGACCTTTGCATCTGTCAAGTAGGAAAATTAGGTACCACCTTAAAGTGTGGGGAGGCTAAATTAACTGAGTTACGAGGCCATAAAGAAGACTCCAGCAAAGCATTCCAGCGGGGAAGCATGCGGGGAATGCGGAAGTGCTTCATCAGCTTCGCAGATGGATGATGAAAGCGACAGCTCCCCTGGCGGCCAGAAAAAGTTAAATAGCCTCTGTGTATGTCTGTATATGTTTGTATGTCAAAAATTGGCATTGAATGTTTGCCATATATGTGTACACTGTAATCCGCCCTGAGTCCCGTGCGGGGTGAGAAGGACAGAATATAAAAGCTGTAAATAAATGAATAAATAAATAAATAGACACAGACAAAATATCCCTAGCTGGTTACAATATATGCTTTGGACTGAGTTATCTGAGTCCACACTGCCATATAGTTCAATTCAAAGAGAAAATGTGGGATTTTATTCAGCTGCGTGGAATGGAATGCCGAAACCAGAGCAAGGCCAAATTGGTTTGGATACTGTAAGACTGGGGTGGGCAACTGTGTGGACTTAGGATCCTTTTTTTCTTCTATCTGCCTGCAGAACAACCTCCACCTCCATTGGTATAAGAGAGAAAATACATTTTTTATCTCTGTCCTTCCCAAAATTGCATCACTTCCAGTTACTGTTTTGGAAAGGAGATGGTTGAAATAACAACAACAACAACAACAACAACAACAACATGGCTGTGGCTCAAAATTGGAACTTTGTAAAAGGAGACGGAGGGCCTGATCCTGGCAGCCCAAGAACAAGCCATTAGAACCAATGCCATCAAAGCCAGAATTGAAAAGTCGACAACAGATCCCAAATGTAGACTCTGCAAGGAAGCAGATGAAACAATAGATCACAGTCTCGAACCTTCTGTTTCTGGGCAAGGTGGTTGAGAGGGCAGCAGCGGAACAGTTGCAGCAGTTCCTAAATGACACAGCCGGACTTGATCCCTTCCAGTCCGGCTTCCGTAATGGGCACGGGACGGAGACTGTGCTGGTTGCCATCACAAATCAGCTCCGCTGCCAGATGGATCAAGACGGATCAGCGCTGCTTGTGTTATTGGACCTCACAGCAGCATTTGATACGGTCAACCACAATCTATTGACCCACCGCCTAGCCATGACTGAGGTTAGGGGGATACCCCTTAAATGGGTGTCCTCCTTCCTCCAGAATCGGGGACAGCGTGTGGTGAGGGGAGGGATGGTTTCCAAGAGATCTCCGCTTACTTGTGGGGTCCCGCAGGGAGCTATTCTCTCTCCTCTATTATTTAACATCTATATGCGACCGCTTGCCCGACTGGTGCGGAGCTTTGGGCTTGAGTGCCACCAGTACGCTGATGACACTCAGTTCATTCTGAGGATGGAGGGCCGTACCCGAAAATTTCCATCAGTGCCTTGAGGCCGTTACTGGATGGTTGCATGCCAACAGGTTGAGGGTGAACCCAGCGAAGACGGAGATCCTTTGGCTGGGCCATCCGGGTGGGAGGGAGATCCAGCTGCCTACCCTGGATGGCGAGACACTACGTCCGTCACCTTCTGTAAAAAGTCTTGGTGTCTTATTGCACCCTCTGCTCACAATGGAAGCCCAGGTCTCTGCTGTGAGCTGATCTGTGTTTTTCCATCTACGTCAGGCTAGGCGACTGGCTCCCTACCTATCTAGGAACAACTTGGCTACAGTGATCCAGGTGACGGTCATCTCGAGGCTTGACTACTGTAACGCCCTCTACATTGGCCTTCCTTTGTCAGTGATCCTTTGTCAGTGATCCGGTGCAAAATGCGGCGGCTCGTCTTCTCGCCAGGGTGCCGGCGAGGTGTCGTATCACCCCAATTCTACAACAGCTGCACTGGCTTCCGATTGAATACCGGATCACTTTCAAGGTGCTGGTACTAACCTTTAAGGCCTTATATGGTCTGGGGCCGGCGTACCTGAGGGCCCGCTTATCCCCCTACCAACCCCAGGGATTACTTCAGTCCGAAGACCAAAATTTGCTTGAAGTCCCCACATCCGGACTTATCATTTGTCCTCTACTAGGCAGAGAGCCTTCTTGATTGTGGCCCCTTATTTATGGAATGTCTTGCCAGTTGAAACCCAAACCATCCGAGAGCAACTTGCTTTTTGGAAAGCCTGTAAAACCTTTCTTTTCCGACAAACTTTTGATGGGTGAATAACTCGGGACTATGTCTGTTCTTGTTTTTATTGTATTTTAAAGTTGATTGCTTTGTTTTTAATCTACTGCTGTAAACTTCTCCGAGCCAAATAAATAAATAAATAAAATCTTCAGCTTCTGCAAGAAGATTGCGCAGACAGACTACAAGCAGAGGCACAACACCGTTGCTCAGATGATTCATTGGAACTTGTGCCACAAATACCATCTGCCTGCGACAAAGAACTGGTGGGATCGCAAGCCGGAAAATGAACATGTCAAACTTCTCTAGGACTTCTGAATTCAGACAGACAGAGTTTTGGAGTACAATACTCCTGACCTCACAATCATGTTAAAAAACAAACACTTCTGGTGTGAGAGAATTGGTCGTCTGCAAGGACATTGCCCAGGGGTCGCCCTGATATTTTGATGTCTTTACCATCCTTGTGGGAGGCTTCTCTCAAGTCCCTACATGAGCTGGAGCTGATAGAGGGAGCTCATCCATGCTCTCCCCTGATTTGAACCTGTGACCTGTCAGTGTTCAGTCCTGCCAGCACAGGGGTTTAACCCACCGCACCACCGGGGGCTCCTATATGTTTGTTGTTGTTGTTGTTCATTCGTTCAGTCGTCTCCGACTCTTCGTGACCTCATGGACCAGCCCACGCCAGAGCTCCCTGTCGGCTGTCACCACCCCCAGCTCCTTCAAGGTCAGTCCAGTCACTTCAAGGATGCCATCCATCCATCTTGCCCTTGGTCGGCCCCTCTTCCTTTTACCTTCCACTTTCCCCAGCATAATTGTCTTCTCTAGGCTTTGCTGTCTCCTCATGATGTGGCCAAAGTACTTAGATCACTCTATCTCCTTTTGGAGAAAAAAATGTGCAATATAATTTATACCTTCCTTGTTTCTTCACAAATTAGGAGGTCATTAAGGACAGTAACCAAAAGAATCAGGTATTTTAAATAGAATGCAAAAATATGAATTGTACTTCAAGGTAAATAGAGCAATCAAGGAAGAAAACTATCAAACATAACACAAATACAAAGGCAGAATTCTTGAAGGCAGCAAATGTTCCTCTTGGAAGCTATACCAAGGCTGCTAGCTAACATTCAGTTATACATATGTGTGTTTGCACCAAGGGGAAGTATGATGAATACAATTGTTGCACTAAAGCAGCATCCACCTTAAAGACAAACAGATTTTTTTATGAACAAATCTCTTATGAAAATATTATCTTATGGTCCAAGGTTCACTTTGTCATTTGCTCTAAACATTTCTTATTTTTGTGACACATAGATATTTCAAAGTGAGCTGTAGACTGATTGAGCAATTGACTTTAGACCTACATAGACATTTCGGATGCTTACATGTCTAGAAAGAAACACCAAGATTGTCATTGCAGTTTGATGGCAGCTGGTTTCTTCTTTGTTAAATGATTTTAAGTCAAACAACTATGGGGTATAATGAAAGTGACTGTTTTTATACTTTCTACCAGTGTAGAGTAAACCATCATTACATTTACAATGTAATGGTGAGTATGGTTGATAGGTAAAGACGGCTCCTTATTCAAGCAAGCAAAGTTCAGTGTCACAATGCCAGGGCTCTGTTTTATTCAGGTAGAGATGAACCAAACAAACACCCAGTTTGTTAAACAATTCAATTAAAGTAGCACTTACTTTCTGACTGTTTTAATAGTCTGAAACATAAAACATAAAGATAGCACTCAGCCACAGAATACAAAAACAAAACGGACCGCAAACGCTGTTGCAGATTCAAGATAACACTGTAGTCAAAAGATCCAGTCCAGTGATCAAACGCTGAGAGTTCAATGAGCAAAGTCCAGGTATCAAGAGTCTATATCGTAGTCAAAAGCCAGTCCAAAGATTCAAGGTTCCAGAGTTCCAAGGGTTCAAGAGACAGGTCAAGATACCAAAAATCCACAAACCTGGGGGGAAACCAGCAGCATCTACCACCAAAATAAGACAAATACTTTTCTCCCGAAGATCAGCCCCAAGGCTAGCTCATTATATCCAGAAACACCCAGCTGCAGCCTATCTCTTGCATACCTCCACCTTTAATTGCTTTCAACCATTAACTCTTACTTACAAATTACTCAACCCTTTAGAACTAAGACTTGCATTAACCCTTCCATCACCAACTGCTAGGCTTACCACCACCAACAACCACCAACAACTGTAGAACATGATACATGAGATTCAGCTACCAAACACATTACAATCCAATAAAAGTCTAGTAGCAAGCATGTGTTCTGTCTCCTTATACTGAGTGCATTTTACTTCATGGAGCATTTAACAGAATGATGAAAAATGAAAGAAATACAGAAACACCTGCTGGAATCAACTGCTGCTGACAATAATGATAGAAAATATTCACAGCTTTTCTAACTTTTAAAAAGGAAGGATGCTTCGGCATATTAAGGTCCCTCCATCAAAAAGACCGAGAAAAGTTTGATCCCTGCACGAGAGTAAAAAAAGGAGCATTTCTATAGTATTGTGTCGTACACATTCATGCCCTTTTCACAAGTGAAAAATATTGCTAGAAAACCTAAGGAAAAAAACATTGCAAAAAAGGTTTAAAATGTTCCAGTTTGAACATTTTCATTCTTGCCACTTGAAAGAGAATAAGCAAATACTTACATTCTTAATTACTGATCCACATTACAACTGAGAAGGGTTCTGAGCATTTGGAAAATGTTTAGCATATTGTGTGTTATACAAACAGCGATAGACATATATTGTTAAATTTGGAAAGAGATTCAGAAAATAGTCTGCAGGCTCCCCGACTATGTCCTTCACCCTGAAATGGAAGAAAACATTTATTTATTTGTTTGTTTGTTTGTTTGTTTGTTTACTAGCTGTCCCCTGCCACACGTTGCTGTGGCCCAGTCTGGTGATCTGGAAAATAAAGTAATGAGAAAGTGTTGGTTTCTAATATATGTAATTTCTTTATGCTTGTGGGTAAACAGTATTTCTTGCTGTTTCTTTGTCAGTGTTGATGTGGAGAGTGTCTGGTTTGCCTACTCTGGAATATGCAACATATCATAGTCCTTCTTTAAGGGTTTCTTTCAAATCTCTAATACTATATCTATGTGTGTGAGAGAGAATCATATCTATCTATCTATATTTATGACTGGATGGCTCTTTGTCAGGAGGGCTCTGATTACATTTTCTTGCCCTGGTGAAGAGAGTTGGACTGGATGGCCTTAAGTATTTTCTGTTGGTCATGGGGGTTCTGTGTGGGAAGTTTGCCCCATTTCCGTTGTTTGTCGGTTTCAAAATGCTCTTTAATTGTAGCGAACTATAAATCCCAGTAACTACAACTCCCAAATTCAAGGTCAATGCCCACCAAACCCTTCCAGTGTGTTCTGTTGGTCATGGAAGTCCTGTATGCCATGTTTGGTTCAATTCCATCATTGGTGAAGTTCAGAATGCTCTTTGATTACGTTTTCGTGCCCTGGTGAAGGGAGTTGGACTGGATGGCCTTAAGTATGGGGTTCTGTGTAGGAAGTTTGCCCCAACTCTGTCGTTTGTGGGATTCAGAATGCTCTTTAATTGTAGGTGAACTATAAATCCCAGTAACTACAAATCCCAAATGTCAAGGTCTATTTCCCCCAAACTCCATCTGTGTTCATATTTGGGCATATGGAATATTCGTGCCAAGTTTGGTCCAGATCCGTCATTGTTTGAGTCCACAGTGCTCTCTAGATGTAGGTGAACTACAACTCCAAAACTCAAAGTCAATGTCCACCAGACCCTTCCAGTTTTTTCTGTTGTTCATGGGAGCCCTGTGTGCTAAGTTTGGCCCAATTCCATCATTGGTGGAGTTCAGCATGCTCTTTGATTGTAGGTAAACTATAAATTCCAGCAATGACAATTCCCAAATGACAAAATCAATTTTTTTGAGTGGAGGACATACATTGGGTTGTTAGGTGTCTTGTGTCCAAATTTGGTGTCAATTCCCCCAGTGGTTTTTGAGTTCTGATGGTATCACAAATGAACATTACATTTTTATTTATGTAGATTGATTGATTGATTGATTGATTGATTGATTGATTGATTGATTTATTTATTTATTTATTTACAGTATTTATCTTCCACCCTTCTCACCCTGTAGGGGACTCAGGGCAGATTACAATGTACATATACATGGCAAACATTCAATGCCATAGACACACAACATATATACACAGAGACAGAGACAGATAAAGATGGATCTGGGCATTCCAAATCAAACAATGATGGATCTGGACCAAACTTGGCACAAGCACTCAATACGCCCAAATATGAACACAGATGGAGTTTGGGGGAAATAGACCTTGACATTTGGGAGTTGTAGTCACTGGGATTCACAGGTTCACCTACAATCAAAGAGCATTCTGAACCCCACGAATGACAGAATTGGGGAAAACTTCCCACACAGAACCCCCATGACCAACAGAAAATACTCAAGGCGATCCATTCCAACTCCCTTCATGAGGGCAAGAAAATATAATCAAAGCCCTCCCGACAAAGAACCATCCAGCCATATATTATTCACACACACACAGATATAGTGTCATAGATTTGAAAGGAAGACAATGATATGTTGCCTGTTCCGGAGTAGGCAAACCAGACAATCTCCACATCAACACTGACAAAGAAACAGCAAGAAATACTGTTTACCCACAAGCATCAAGAAATTACATATATTAGAAACCAACATTTTCTCATTATTTTCCAGATCAACAGACTGGGCCACAGCAACGCGTGGCAGGGGACAGCTAGTAAGTTTATATTTGTATTGTTTTAAGTGTTTATTGCACTACAAATAAGATATGTGCACTGTGCATAGGAATTCATTCATGGGGGTTTTTTTCCAAATTGTAATCCGGCCCTCCAATAGTTTGAAGAACTGTGACCTGGCCCTCTGTTTAAAAAGTTTGAGGACCCCTGATCTAAAGAATATATCAAAAATCTTACATCTCCCTGTCCCCCTCTCCCCACACTAGATCTCCAAGAAAGAAATGACTGCCTTTCCTCTTGGCTGCTTTCTGGCTGCCCCACATGTTCCCCTGACCATAAAATTGGCCAAAGGACTGCATGCCAACCTGTCACAGTGCCACACATGCACAATATTATTGGTTGGCCTTCTATTTGACAGGCCCAGGCTTCCCAGCCTTAGTCACCTGATCTATAAAATTTGGTTGCTGACTTTTAAGCAAAATATTCAGCCCTTGTTTATTATTTGGTGGAACAGGCTGCAATGTGAATGGAAAACAGAAATATATTCCATTAGCATGTCTTGTGTACCAGGAGCTCCAACTTTATTTGCTTTGTATTAAATGTTTGCTTGCAGTCCTAGGTTTCAGGGACTCTGCAGATAGGTGGCTTCCTTTGGTTGCAGTCATAGGGCAAGTCACCTGTCCATTATCGTTAAGTTTTGCTCAGGGTAATTGGGAAGGGAAGGGAGCCATTTTTAGTTAGTCTCAGCAAGGAAAGCTAATGTACAGGACGTGTGCAAGCTTCCCCTGTACAAAAGCTTCAACCCTTAAGACTTTCTAAGGGAAAACAGTTTTAAGAGCATCCAAGACCTTCTGGGGCAAAACAGTCTTAAGAGTCTCCAAAGATTTCCAGGGAAACAGCCCTAAAGACCAAAGAACCCCAGCTGGAGAACATCTAAGCCTTTACTGGTAGGTCCACTCAGCGTTCGAGAAGCAGTTCGACCCGGTAGCGGAGCCCACATCAGTAAGGGTTAGATTACATTCAGCCTGGGAGAAGTTAAAAAGGGAACTTTCCTTTAAAGTAAAGAAGAAGTTATTGAAGACAGTTGCCTGTCCTTCGTGGGCAAGTTTAGGAAGCTACCAGTTGCATAAAAGCCTGGAATCATTTGTTTAAATTTCTGAATACAAGAAAAGTTTCTGTTTGATTGTTCATTAATAAAAGACTTTGTTATACTTCACAAGCCATCTAAAGACTATTTGTGGTGGAAAACCTCTGAGAACTTCTCTTTGGGGCCCCTGGCTTCCCGCTGGGCAAAGGTTGCATGTCCTGTTCTAAAGGAAATTCTTTATAGGACCAGCGTGCGACAGAACATGTCTTATCACAGAAGGTACACTGAAATGCAGATACATTGAAAGCAGCAGTGACTTACTGTTCATCTTTCTCTTTCAAGTGCTCGCCAGTATGTCTGATTAGTTTCAGCAAATCTGTCACACAGTTTTCGTAACCTTTCTTTGGTCTGTTTTTCTTTTTCTTGTCTCTCTCACTAAAAGGATCAGCCATACAGTCCAAAAATTCTTTATGGATCTGAAAGAGTTTAAATCTTTTTAATTATATTATTCTGCACGGTTTGACCTTCACATGAGAATTTTCTCTCTTGAATAGATGAAAAACACAGACCGCACAAAAGTAAATTGGATATAGATGGAAGAGTAGTGATATCTATAAATGCATCTCCTGTTCATTTGAAAAGTTAGGTAGAGACCAGACAACTGTCAAAAGTCAATCATTTTCAAATAATAATCCGGCCCTCCAACAGTTTGAGGGACTGTGATCTGGCCCTCTGTTCAAAAAGTTTGAGGACTCCTGCATTAGTGTGTCAGCTACAGTGTGTAGATTTGCTGCATGAATGTAACAAGAAACCTCTGCTCTATATGAAATACGCAATCATATTTTTAAATATATATATAAATGAAAAGTTTTCATGAGATATATTGTGCTACCATACATTTCATTATTAAAATTTATGTATGCGTCCATACGTCTCATAAGGGGCTGGTTTAATCTCTGGCTTGCTGGTAAAACTGAATTACTGTGTCATGATTTTTTTTTTGTTGTGTCAGGAGCGACTTGAGAAACTGCAAGTCGCTTCTGGTGTGAGAGAATTGGCCGTCTGCAAGGACGTTGCCCAGGGTGATTTAATGTTTTTATCATCCTTGTGGGAGGCTTCTCTCATGTCCCCGCATGTGGAGCTGGAGCTGGTAAAGGGAGCTTATCCGCCTCTCCCTGGATTCGAACCTGCGATATGTCGGTCTTCAGTCCTGCCAGCACAGGGCTGAACCCACTGCATCACCGGGGGCTCCTTACAGGCAAGGATGAAGGACGTTGTTTCCCTGTCTGATCCATGGCTTCTGATCATGGTGAAGAATGGAATGGTTCCTTTCTTTGATCACTGTATGTGATATTATGGTTAGAAACCGGTCTGAGTCCCTCAAGAGAGGTGAGAAGGTCGGTATACAAAACTTTTAAATAAATAAATCAACTTCATACTGTACCTTAACCTATACACACACACACACACAATCCCTTTCTCTGGGTAGGGTGGCAGATAGTCATTTTTTTAACAGCAAGTCGTAGCAGAAGACAATTGTGCTGGGGAAAATGGAAGGAAAAAGGAAGACGGGCCGACCAAGGGCAAGATGGATGGATGGTATCCTTGAAGTGACTGGCTTGACTCTGAAGGAGCTGGGGGAGGTGACGGCCAACGGGAAGCTCTGGCATGGGTCACTAAGAGTCGGAAATAACTGAACAAATGAACAACAAACAAAGTAGCAGCAGGATCAAGTGTTTGTTATAGAAAAACCTTATGATGTTAATTATTATGTGCAGCTGGTAATGTAGGTCAGCCAGCATGTTTGGGCCACACCCGGTGGTATATCATTGTATGAAGGGCTAGAAGGCATGATCATCAAGTTTGCAGACGACACCAAATTGGGAGGGATAGCCAATACTCCAGAGGACAGTAGCAGAATTCAAAACAATCTTGACAGACTAGAGAGATGGGCCAAAAGTAACAAAATGAAGTTCAACAGTGACAAATGCAAGATACTCCACTTTGGCAGCAAAAACTAAATGCAAAGATACAGAATGGGGGACAATGTCTGGCTCGAGAGCAATACATGTGAAAAAGATCTTGGAGTCCTCGTGGACAACAAGTTAAACATGAGCCAACAGTTTGATGTAGCGGCAAAGAAAGCCAGCGGGATTTTAGCCTGCATCAATAGGAGCATAGTGTCTAGATCCAGGGAAGAAATGCTACCCCTCTATTCTGCTTTGGTTAGACCACACCTGGAATATTGTGTCCAATTCTGGGCACCACAATTCAAGAGAGATATTGACAGGCTGGAATGTGTCCAGAGGAGAGCAACTAAAATGATCAAGGGTCTGGAGAACAAGCCCTATGAGGAGCGGCTTAAGGAGCTGGGCATGTTTAGCCTGAAAAAGAGAAGGCTGAGAGGAGATATGATAGTCATGTATAAATATGTCAGTGGAAGCCACAGGGAGGAGGGAGCAAGCTTGTTTCCTGCTTCCCTGGAGACTAGGACGCGGAACAATGGCTTCAAACTACAAGAGAGGAGATTCCATCTGAACATGAGGAAGAACTTCCTGACTGTGAGAGCCGTTCAGCAGTGGAACTCTCTGCCCTGGAGTGTGGTGGAGGCTCCTTCTTTGGAAGCTTTTAAACAGAGACTGGATGGCCATCTGTCAGAGGTGATTTGAATGCAATATTCCTGCTTCTTGGCAGGGGGTTGGACTGGATGGCCCATGAGGTCTCTTCCAACTCTTTGATTCTATGATTCTATGAATTTTAGAATACAGTTTGGAGAAGCAATATGCTGTAATGCTGCTATGCTCTAACAGCGATGCTCTTTGCTACGGTGGAATAGCTATTTACTCAAGGTTTATGTTTTGCTCTCTCATTTGATTGAAGATGAAGAAGCCTTATTCTGTGTTACTTACAAGGACTATGCAAGTTTGTTGCACTGCAAGTTTATGTTTTGCCTCTTCTGATAAGAGTAAAGATTTTCTGTTCCTTTTTCCTCTTGCCTGTGTGTCTATTGCATTGGACTTGGCTAAAATCCACTTCTGCGCAACAATTTTGCGTGCCTGAGTGGGAAAATAAGTGTCCAGGGGAGGATGCCTTCCTAAGGTCATGCTGACACTTTGCATGCTCTATGGAAAGACCCTTGATTTATCCATGGATCACATCCAAATTCATAATTTTAGCCCTAAAATGTACCCTCAACTTCTACATGGGGTCAACTGCTACATAAGTATATACAAGTAATGCCAGCAATTCAAGGAATACGATTTTGCAATTGATAGTGACACTTGTTATTTATAAATAAAAAGTGCAGTCTACGCCCAATTATGCAATTATTATGCTCAATTACTGCTCTTCCTCCATCTTGCATATAGGGGAGTTTTCTGACAACTTAGAGAATTCTGACAGTCTCTCTCACATACCCTCTTTCCCCTTTTCCACAACGTCTTCCCTCCTTCCCATCCCAAATGGTGGAGAGAGATAGGAAATGCTATTACTCCTTTACTCTCTCTCCTCTGTTTATGCACACCAATAGACGCACACCCACACACCCAGCATTGCAGATCCAGTTTCAACTCTGTAGGAGCGAACAAAAGGAAACAAAAAAGAGAAGGCTGATAGAATAAAAAATATGGTTTTTTGTTTTTTATACGCCCTGTGGATAAGAAGAAGAAAAAACTTGGGAAAGAATGCAGAAAAGCCCGAAATGTTCTGGAATTACCAGTGCCGTTTCTAGATCCTGTAATTACAGGAGTAAAAACCATGATGTTCCAATATTTGGATAAATAAGTATAATTACAAGAATGCAATTGTAGAAAGGAAATGGGACATGCAACATGCAGTCCACTGAAAATCCACACACACACATATACACACACATATATATACACTAGCTGTACCCAAGCCACCCAAGTGTTGCTGTGGCCAACCTTCCCTCTTTCTCTCCTTCTTTCCCTCCTTCCTTCACTCCCTCTTCCCTTCCTTCCTTCCCATCTTTCCTTCTCTTCTTCCTTCCTTCTCTATCTCTTTCCTTCCCCCCTTTTTCTTTCTCTTCTGCTGTCTCTCTTTTCTTCCTTCTCTCTTTCCTTCCCTCCCTCTTTCTCTACATCTTCCCCCTTCGCTCCCTCTTTCCTTCCTTCTTTCCCTTTTTTCTTTCCTCTCCTTCCTTCTTTAACTTTCCTTTCCCCTTTTTCTTTCCCTCCCTCTTTCTCTCCTTTCTTCCTTCTCTTCCTCTTTCCTTCCTTCTCTCTTTGCTTCCATGCTTCCTTCTTTCCTCTCTCACTTTCTGCCTGCCTACCTGCCTTTTTCTTTCTTTCTTTCTTTCTCTTTCTTTCTTTCTTTCTTTCTTTCTTTCTTTCTTTCTTTCTTTCTTTCTTTCTTTTTCTTTCCTTCTTTCATGCTCCCTCTTTCCTTTCTTCCTTCTCTTTTTGCTTTTTAAGTCCCTTCTGCTGTGATTTTCAGTGTTTTTATGAGTGAAGGACATACATTGGGTTGTTAGGTGTATTGTGTCCAAATTTGGTGCCAATTCCCCCAGTGGTTTTTGAGTTTTGTTAATCCCACAAACGAACTATCTATCTAGCTATCTATATTTTATGGAGTCCCCGGTGGTGCAGTGGGTTAAACCACAAAGCTGCTGAGCTTGTTGACTGAAAGGTTGCAGGTTGAAATCCAGGGAACGGCATGAGCTTCTGCTGTCAGCCCCAGCTTCTGCCAACCTAGCAGTTCGAAAATACGCAAATGTGAGTAGATTGATGGGTACACGACTGGACTTAATGTCAGGGGAAACCTTTACCTAACCATAGATAGATAGATAGATAGATAGATAGATAGATAGATAGATAGATAGATAGATAGATAGATAGATAGAATGGATACAAGAAAGATGAAAGAAACATTGGTGGGTTATAACTGTGCAAGGAATCAGACCAGAGCAGGGTTTGTAAGTCTCACATGGCTAGTGGCTTGAGACTTTTTGGCTTTTCCTGGATGACTTTCCTGAAGAGTGCTAGGATTTGAAGTAGAACGGGTCCCAGAAACAAATGGAAAGCACCTTCCATGACCAATTCAAGGGGATCTTTCTTGGTGATGTTTCATTGTATTTTGATGACTTATAACTTTGTCTGCAATAACGATAATACTATTGGAGCTGATCGAGTCTCTTGAACTGCCCTTCCTACAACTGCAGAACCGCTCTCTGCTGTCACTACTATTATGCAGAAATCCCCAGTTCTTTAGAACATGCAAAGGAAATGTACGAGAGTTGAATGAAAAGTAATGCCTCCACCTTTGTAACTCCTCAACAGACTGCAGTACTGGTATGCGGCAGGTACTGGCTTGTTCAGTAGACTCTCCTCTACAGTTCCATTTTGGCAGGAAGCCTTAGCCTTGAACGGTTGTGTTGTTAAAGTGCAAAGTATGGAACCCTGCACAGACAGCCGGTCAATGCGACTTAAGTAACATGCCATCATTGAATTCTTGACAGCAGAAGGTGTCACCCCAAAGGAGATTCATTAGAGAATGCAAGCTGTTTATGGTGATTGTGTTGATGTGAGTACTGTGCATTGTTGGGTGAGTAAGTTTAAAGATGTTGAGATGGGAACATCTGGCTTGTGTGACAAACAAAGATTTGGATGTCCTGTGACAGCAACCACTGTGTTTCACAAGCAAAAGGTTGACAGATTGAGTCAGAACGATCATCAAATCACTCAGAGAGAAATTTCAAGCATAATCGGCATGTCACAAGAACGTGTGGGTCACATTATTACTTTGCTTGGCTACTGGAAGATCTGTGCACAATGGGTACCCAGGATGCTGACGCCTGAAATGAAAGCACACAGACTTGAAACTTCAGCGACTGGATCTCACCACCATACGACATCCTCCATACAGTCCATATTTAGCACTGTCTGACTTCCATCTGTTCCCGATAATGAAAGAAGATCTGCGGGGACAACATTATGCTTCTGATGAAGACGTTGAGAGAACTGAGAGATGCTGGTTGCGGAAACAGAGTGTCGACTTCCTATATGAACATAGAGACTTCTTCTGCGACGGCTTGAGAAAACCTGTTCATCATTGGCAGAAATCTATCCAATTGTCTGGTGATTATGTGGAAAAGTGGATAGTGGTAGTTAAGGAGCACATTCTACGGATATTCTCATCCAAACCCAAGTAACAAAGGTGGAGGCATTACTTTTCATTCGCTCCTCGTATCTCCCTCTGTCAGTTACATAAAGCTTGCAAACTTTGTGTTTTGTTTGTTTGTTTGTTAAAAATGTAATACAATTGTTTGGTTGCTCCTGACACCATAAATAACGTTACATAGAGAAGATTCACACCAATGCTGTATGCAAACCAACCTGTAACTGATATGTTTTACCCAGAAATGTCAGTTGACAGCAGGCTTGAACAGCTTACCTCTTCTTTCCAGTTCATGAATGGATGTTCTTCACAATTTAAAGCCTTCAGAAGTTCACTATCCTCATTGTGTTGCTTAGTGTTCCTTGTCTTAATATCACTCTCATTCCCAATGTCCCTTAAGAGTCTGTATTTCCTGTCAAATGGAAGGCAAAGGGATGAAGGTTCAATTAATATATATGCATTTCTGAACTGTTAACAGAGTCATATCACAATAATCAGGGTAAGGAGGGTTTAGGGATAAAGTATGAAATGCAGATACATTTATTTTTTAAGCTGTCCAGTATTGCTTTCTACTTACATTTGCTTGCTCCAAAAATAAGGATGTTGTAGTAAATGTTCCAATTGATCACAGGCTGGGATGCATTCTTCAAGAGAGTTCAACCTTTCTCTGAGATCATCTATTTCCATACGATCGTCCACATCTATAGGGCACTCTGTGGGTAAATCTTCAAATTGTGCTCTGCCCCTCATTGCAACATATACAACCAGCTTTTCAAGATCCTGGGTGATAGAATAAGTGCTTATTGCCTTCTCAAGAAATACAACATCAGAATGAACAAAGCACTATGCTGTAATGCTGCTATGCTCTAACAGCAATGCTCTTTGCTATGGTGAAATAGCTATTTACTCAAGGTTTATGTTTTGCTCTCTCATTTGAATGAAGATGAAGGAGCCTTATTCTGAGTTACAAGGACTATGTAAGTTTGTTGCACTGTTTGATTTTGTATGCAACATTGCAAGTTTATGCCTCTGCTGATAAGAGTAAAATTTTATGTTCCTTTTTCCTCTTGCCTGTGTGTCTATTGCAGGGGTCCTCAAACTTTTTAAACCGGGGGCCAGTTCACTGTCCTTCAGACTGTTGGAGGGCCGGACTATAGTTTTTTTAAAAAAAAATCAATTAAAAAATTCCTATGCACATTGCACATATCTTATTTTGCTGTGTGGAAGGGCCCTTGGAGGGGGTTCTTTCTAGCCCTCTTTAGGCAGTAATTCCAGGAGCAGAGAATGGGAAATCTTCCTATTTCTAGTCTGAACAAAATCTGGCTACCAGTATTTAAAAAACCCTAAAATTATAACTGTAAATAAAGAACAACACTCAAACACAGGGGAACTCCAGACAAGAAACAATCAGGGCCAGCTAATCACCTCTCAACAAAGGATTCTCCCTAAAAACTGTCAGGCTATGAAATGGTAATCAAGGTGGCCAATTGAAACATTCATACCTACCTCCAACAGACAAGAGTTCTTTCTCCCACCCTGGATCTTCCACAATTTTCCTAGTTAAAGGTTTTCCTCTGACATGAAGTCCAGTCGTGTCTGACTCTGGGGTGTGGTGCTCATCTGCATTTCTAAGTCGAAGATCCGGTGTTGTCTGTAGACACCTCCAAGGTCATGTGGCCGGCATGACTGCATGGAGTGCCAGGGCAGCCTCCCTTGGCTGGCTCCCGCTGCCCATCGGGCCCAATGGGCAACATAGGAGCAGCACCGCCCGGCTAGGTGCTTTACGTGCGAGTAGGCCATGTGAAGCAGCTGCTCTTGGCTGGCTTAGGCTACCCATTGGGCCTGACGGATAGCGTGAGCCAGCCAAAGGAGGAGCAGCACCGCACGGACTACCCGCGCGTAAAGCCCCTCGCAAGGTGCTTTATGCGTGAGTAAGCCACACGGAGCAGCTGCCCTTGGCTGGCTCACATTGCCCATCAGGCCTGATGAATAGCGTGAACCAGCCAAGGGAAGGGCACTGTGGTGGTGGGGGGGGGGGTGCTCCTCCTCCGCGGGCTGGATAAGTTCCCTTGGCGGGCTGGAAGTGGCCCGCAGGCCGTAGTTTGAGGACCCCTGGTCTATTGCATGGGACTTGGTTAAAATCCACTTCTGCACAATAGATTCTTCACATCAAGGTTCCTCAACACTTGAAAAACATTTTCTAATAACTTTTCTAATTCTTCTGAATATTCCATCCCTAGTACTTTGTGCATATAGAAGTTTGGTTCACTATATTGACTGTAGAGGTGATAATTCTGTAAATGTAGGAGGCTAGAAGGAAGTAATGAAGAATTTATATTTACCTGTAAGTCTTCTGAGATTATATGATCTTTCTGGTCATCACCAGTTATTTTCCTGCACTTGTCAAAATCTGCTAGGAAAATCTTGCCCGTAACATCTGGAAGAGGCACAAATTAACAAATAACATGATATAGTTTTAACTTTTAACAGTAGTTTGGAAAGTAAAGACAAGTAATGACTTTTTTTTTTAGAAAGGCGTTTTTACTGCCCATTCTCTCTGGCTGCATTGACACTGTAGAATTAATGTAGTTTAATACCACTTTAACCCCCGGTGGAGCCCCCGGTGGCGCAGTGGGTTAAACCCCCGTGCTGGCAGGACTGAAGATCGACAGGTCGCAGGTTCGAATCCGGGGAGAGGCGGATGAGCTCCCTCTATCAGCTCCATCTCCTGATACGGGGACATGAGAGAAGCCTCCCACAAGGATGATAAAAACATCAAATCATCCGGGTGTCCCCTGGGCAACATCCCTGCAGATGGCCAATTCTCTCACACCAGAAGCGACTTGCAGTTTCTCAAGTCGCTCCTGACACGACAAAAAAAAAATACTACTTTAACTGCCATGATGTCAAACTACAGAATCACAGGATATGTATTTTGCTGAGGCACAACAGAGAAGGTTAAAGATGGCGTAAAACTACAGCTCACCGTGATTCCATGGCAGTGAAAGAGGAGTAAAACTGCATTAATTCTATTGTGTAGATGCACAATAGATGCACCTCTGATTTTATTATGCACATGGTCGGTGATCAATGAAATAGAGAATGTGGAGGGCTGCATAGTAATTACAATCCGTATATAGCTGAAATTCAAAAACTAAAATTAAAAAATGGATTATAAGAGTAATCTTAAAAGACAATATTTCTAGGCTAAAAATTATTTGATTAATAAAATCCCATCAACAGTCTTAATTTTTTTAAAAAGGAGTTAAACCACTGAGCTGCTAAACTTGCTAACTGAAAGGTTGCAGGTTCGAATCTGGGGAGCAGCATGAGCTCTCGCTATTAGCCCCAGCTTCTGCCAACCTAGCAGTTCGAAAACATGCAAATGTAAGTAGATCCTCTTGCTCCCAGCTCCGTCACAAGCACGGTTGGTGGGGACAAGAGAGGGGGCCTTCTTGGTGGTGGCCCCCTCCTCTGGAACACCCTTCCAAGGGAAATAAGATAGGTCCCATACCTCCCCTTTTTTCATAAGAGTTTGAAGACTTGGTTTCAACAAATCTTTGAGAGTGGCCAGTGCTAGCTCAGCCCAGACACTGTCTGGACATGACGTATCCCCCTATATATTATCCTGGTCATTCTCCTAACAGGCCCCTGGAAATAGCCCGTCCCCGCTTTTGTCGTTTACCTATTACAGTACTGTACCCGAATGCCGGTCCCATCTTATTTCAATTTGCATCAGCCAGGATTTTTTCTTTTAATATTTATGTATTGTTGGGTAATTCCATGCTTATGTTGCTGTTACTGTCATTTTTTGTTCATGTTGTGACTCTGTATGCTTTGATGTTGTTGCTTGGAAACCGTCCTGAGTCCCCTCAGGTAGATAGAGCAGTATATAAATAAATATTATTATTATTATTATTATTATTATTATTATTATTATTATTATCAATAGGTGCCACCCCAGCAGGAAGGTAACGGCGCTCCATGCAGTCATGCTGGCTCCATGACCTTGGAGGTGTCTACAGACAACACCAGCTCTTTAGCTTAGATGAGCACCAACCCCCAAAGTTGGATACAACTGGACTTAATGTCAGAGGAAAACCTGTCAGGTTTTACAATGTATTGTAATGTAATATAGCTGAGTCATGCACTGCTAATGGGCTTCTATTGGAAATGCTGAGTCATGCATTCACTGTATATAGGGAATCATTTGGGGAATGTGTTCTGGCCTAGTCCAGGTGATTGTGAATGATGTAATCCTGGGTCTGAGTTAATGAGTTGGGAAGCAAACAGAGATTGCTATGTGTAATTGTATAGAATTGTATATAAGGAAGTCATGTACAGTGTATATCTCTCTCCTTGTGCTGTGATGTTGTTCGTCGAAGGCTCTATGTAATTGATTAAAAGAACCTGTATGTTAAGACAAGATATAACTGTATGCTGTGGTAAGTTTGTAATATCATCTAGACTGGGGGAAACACAATGGTAAAACTGACAATGGCCGGGCATGTGCTCAAGTGTCTGTAAAAGGTTCCAGCGTGACTGCAGGCTGTGGGAGCAGTTGACTGAAAATACTGTGCAGGAAGAAGCTACTGGAAAGCGCTGAAGTTGTGCAACTCATCTGCTGCTGAATTGTGAAATTAATCTCAACAAAACCTTTACCTTGACTTATGTGAATTCTAATCATCATCCATCTATATCATCCTCCCAGCATAATGTACTGCTCACCCATTTGTTGTTATTTTTAACTGTTTATATTTTCATTTTGGGTGGTTTAATTCCTTTTCAGCCTTGATATGATGTGAATTTTAAATGGTGTATGTTTCAACTGTCGTAAGATGCATTGAATCCCAAATAGAAGAAAAGGCAGGGTACAAATAAATATAATTTTCATCATCAAGTATATGGATTTACAAATGCTAGAGTAGAGGCAACACAGGCAATCTATGACTAAGTAGAAAAATGTGATATTATATGAATGCCAGTTTGTTCCCAATACTGCACACCTGCTGCTTCATATTTACTCTATTGAATTCAACAAAACTACAGTCGGCCCTCCACATTCACTGAGGTTGGGGACTCAGGAAAGTTTTGGTCGTGTCAGGAGTGACTTGAGAAACTGCAAGTCGCTTCTGGTGTGAGAGAATTGGCCGTCTGCAAGGACGTTGCCCAGGGGACGCCCAGATGATTGGGTGTTTTTATCATCCTTGTGGGAGGCTTCTCTCATGTCCCTGCATGAGGAGCTGGAGCTAATAGAGGGAGCTCATCCGCCTCTGCCCGGATTCGAACCTGCGACCTGTCGGTCTTCAGTCCTGCTGGCACAGGGGTTTAACCCACTGCGCCACCAGGGGCTCCCTCAGGAAAGTGAAAAAATGCAAATGAATAAATACCTCATTTTTTTAACTTCAACTTCTAATTTTAACCTACTACTTCTACTAGAAGCTGACCACATAATTGTGCTAGAGGATATAGAGATTCCTAGGGAAATATTGTTTCTAGGAATCTCTAGCTCCTCCAACATGAGCAGAGGAAGTTGACCAATGCCATGTATCATGTCCCATAGTTGATGGTGGTTGGTGGTGAAAGACCTGGCAGTTAGTGATGGAAGAGTTAATGTAAGTCTTGGTTCTAAAGGGCTGAGTAGTTTGTAAGTAACAGTTTACAGGTAAAAACAATTAAGGGTGGAGACATGCAGGGGAAAGGTTGCAGTTGGGTGTTACTGGATTTAAGGTGCTAACCGGACTGATCTTTGGGAGAAAAGTCTTTTGTCACGATGCTAGGGCTCTGCTGTTATTTCCAGCAGAGGTTAATCAAACAAACACCCAGTTTGTGATAAACAGTTTAATTAAAACAGCACTTACTTTATGGCTGTTTTAATAGTCCAAAATATAAAACATAAAGATAGTACTCAGCCACAGAATAAACAAAAACTGATAGCAAAAGCTACACTGTAGTCAAAGGGTCCAGTCCAGTGGTCAAATGCAAAGAGTTTCAATAAACAAAGTCTGGGGATCAAGAGTCTATACTGTAGTCCAAATCTAGTCCAGAGATTCAAAGTTCCAGAGTTCTAAGAGTTCAGGAGACAGATCGGAATACCAAAAACCCAGAGACCTGGGGGGAAACCAGCAGCATCCATCACTAAAATATGACAAATACTTTTCTTCCAAAGATCAGAACCAACTGTCGCTCTGGGCCAGAGTGAAGAGAGGGGAGGCCAAGGGACAGTTACATCTTGTCTCCTGGATATGCCATCAGCTGGAGACCCCTCCCCCCAGCACCAACTGTCGCTCTGGGCCAGAGTGGAGAGAGGGGAGGCCAGGGGACAGTTCCATCTTGTCTCCTGGATATGTCATCAGCTGGAGACCCATCCACCCAGCACCAATTGCCGCTCTGGGCCAGAGTGAAGAGAGGGACAGTTCCATCTTGTCTCCTGGATATGCCATCAGATGGAGACCCCCCCCCCTCCCCTCAGCACCAACTATCTTTCTGGGCTAGAGTGGAGAGGGGAGGCCAAGGGACGGTTCTACGGGGGGTATTTTTAAAGTAAAGTCCGTTTTGTTGTAGACACTGGTAGTTCGTGCGCATACTGCAACGAGCGTGTGCATCGTGGAACAACTGTGCTCAGTTTCCGCTCTGTAGCTAACCTGTACGGTTCTGTTCTGTGCTTTAAAAACGTTTAAGACTATCAACTCACCTCCGCATGTGATGTTTGCTCAGTGGTACGGTTTTTGTCAGCAAGGAATCTGCCTGCTGCAGAAATTCATCGACAGATTTGTGAAGTGTACAGTGATACTGTTATGAGTGAAAGCAAAGTGCATAAGTGGGTACGACAATTCAAAGATGGCCGTGACAATGTCCATGATGAGGACCCCTCGTATCTTGTCTCTTGGATATGCCATCAGCTGGCGATCCCTCCCCCAGCACCGTCGCTCTGGGCCAGAGCGAAGAGAGGGGAGGCCAGGGGACAGTTCCATCTTGTCTCCTGGATATGTCATCAGCTGGAGACTCCTCCACCCAGCACCAACTGCTGCTCTGGGCCAGAGTGAAGTGAGAGGGAGCCAGGGGACAGTTCCACCTGGTCTCCTGTGCTATTCTAATAATATAATATAATACAATATAATATAATATATTGCATATACATATATACATATAATATTTATAATATTATAATGTAATGCAATACAATAATAATAATATATTATAGTTATCTGTAAACTGTTACTTACAAACTACTCAGCTCTTTAGAACCAAGACTTACATTAACCTTTCCACCACCAACTGCCAGGTCTGTTACCACCAACCACCATCAACTATGGGACTTGATACATGACAACCAGCAACTCACGCTGGAACACAAAAGTTCCCTAGAGAGAGCATTTCAATCAAATCTGCAAAAGTCAAACCTGCAAATGTCAAACCTGCAAAATAAACAATTGGACCCCTTTGAACAGAAGGCCAAATACAAAAGAGCACAGACCTATCAAAATGTTACTCGGGTGCAAATCCTGATGACCAAATCCAAATTCATGCAATTCCTTCACTGCCAGAAAGACCGTTTTGAGAATATCGTTGCTTCTCATGTCTGCCTTGTCACCCATTTTGAAGTATTCTTCAAGGGTCCTCTCACACAAGGAGAGGCACAGATACAGACAGTTTTTCCGCTCTTCCCATCCACAAAACTTCATCAGATGATTGCTGGTGCGGCATTTCTCAAGGCAGGTTTTCTCTCGTTCAGCATTTTCGGCATCAATACAGAATATCTTCACAGCCACGGCTTCTCCATCATATAATCCCAGATACACTCCTCCTTGAGAGTTTCTCTGAATCCTAAAATCTTGATATTGGAAAATCTTGAGTTTTCCAATCATAGGGCGATACCTCCCATACAGATCCTGGAGCTGGGGTCCCCAGCGTATACTAGAAGACGTCCACTTTACCACTGGTTGTCTTGGAATGTGTGATGAACCAAACTGTTGTAGGAGCTCTATGATTTTTTCATTGTTATAAGTTTGGCTAGCGATTTCAAGGAGGTTCCCAATGTCTGTTCTTGCTCCCTTTTCACACAACACCCGTGCTATGTCATAGTTTTTCATTTCCACCGCTATCATCAGTGCCGTTCTGCTGTTCTTGTCTGCATCATCAATATCAACCTCATTGCGGTCTAATATAGCCTCCACCACAACTTGGCTTTGCCTTTCCACGGCAAGTATAAGAGTAGTTTTCCCACTTTCATCTCTCTTGGTCAAATCCGTACCACGTTCTAGAAGAAAAAGGACAATGTCCTCTTTGTCTTTCTTCCAATTTTTGTCTTCTCCGAGGTGGAATGCCTGGATTAATGCATTCCTTCCCTGATTGTCACAGATATTCACGTCGGCGTTCATCTCTTTGACTAGGGCTTCTACCACAGCGACGTGGCCTTGCTTGGCAGCATCCATCAAGGCTGTTACACCTCCTTTATTTAGGGCCTTTTTCTCCTCATCAACTACTCTTCCCAAATTGACATCGGCTCCATTCTCATACAAAAATCTCAGGGCTGCCTCCTTCCCATACCAAGCAGCCTCCATGAAAGCGGTGAAGCCATTGATATCACACTCATTGATATCGGATCCTTTCTCAAGGAAGAGCTTCAGAAGGTTCACATTGCCATTTATCCCAGCTAGGATAAAAGGAGTAGCCCCGTTGTCCTTCCTAGGCTGTGGATCAGCCCCCTCTCTAAGAAGAAGGTAGACAATATCTTCCTTATTCCGTTGTACAGCACTATGAAGGGGTGTCCAACCACCTTTCACCTTTGAATTTATATCTCTGCCATCTTTCAAAAGCTGCTGGACAGTCTCAATTGAGCCATATCGTACAGCATTGTTTAGCTCCACTTCAGGGCTTACTGGCTCCCGATTGTGGTGATTGTATTGGTTTTCCATTAATATATTTCTAGTGTAACTTAAGTTAAATAGTTAAAATGACAACAATTATGATTAACTAGCGGCCCCCTGCCACGCGTTGCTGTGGTCCAGTCTGGTGATCTGGAAAATAAAGAAATGAGAAAGTGTTGGTTTCTAATATATGTAATTTCTCTATTCTCGTGGGTAAACAGTATTGTTGTTTCTTTGTCAGTGCTGATGTGTCTGATTTACCTATTATGGAACATGCAACATATAATTGTCCTTCTTTAGGGGTCCCTTTCAAATCTATTGTACTATATCTGTCATAAACATGTGTGTGTGTGTGTGTGTGAATCATATATATTTATCTATATCTTTGTCAGGAGGGCTTTATGTTTTCTTGCCCTGGTGAAGGGAGTTGGACTGGATGGTCTTAAGGCAGCATTTCTCAACCTGGGGTTTGGGACCCCTGGGGGGGGGTTGCGAGGGGGTGTCACAAGGGTCACCAAAGACCACCAGAAAACACAGTATTTTCTGTTGATCACGAGGATTCTGTGTGGGAAGTTTGCCCCAATTCTGTCGTTGGTGGGGTTCAGAATGCTCGATTGTAGGTGAACTATAAATCCCACTACAACTACAACTCACAAATGTCAAGGTCTATTTCCCCCAAACTCCATCTGTGTTTATACTTGGGCATATTGAGTATTTGTGCCAAATTTGGTCCAGATCCAGCATTGTTTGAGTCCACAGTACTCTCTGGATGGAGGTGAACTACAACTCCAAAACCCAAGGCCAATGCCCATCAAACCTTTCTAGTGTTTTCTGTTGGTCAGGAGAGTCCTGTGTGTCATGTTTGGTTCAATTCCATAGTTGATGGAGTTCAGAATGCTCTTTGATTGTAGGTGAACTATAAATCCCAGCAACTACAACTTCCAAATGACAAACGCATAATTTTTTGAGTGATGGTCACACCTTGTGTTGTGAGACATTTTGTTGCCAAATTTGGTGTGATTTCGTTCATTGGTTCTTTTGTTTTTAAGGTACTCATTATGCACAGAGCATTTTTATATATATAGATGGAAAATCAGTTCAGAGAGGCAGTTATTGTGCTGGATGCACTATATATGCTACTGCTGGATTCAGATGTTTAGATGCTAGGAGTGCAAATAAAAATACGCTGATGTCTTTACCACAGAGACCGAAATGTTTTTAAAAGTCTTAAAGGGTTCATAGTCTTCCTTTGATCTGTTTATTAAAGAAAGAAAAGAAAATATCTTTTTTTTAATTACCTTTACTTATGTGAATTCTAATCATCATCCATGCAGTCATGCCGGCCACATGACCTTGGAGGTGTCTATGGACAACGCCGGCTCTTCAGCTTAGAAATGAAGATGAGTACCAACCCCAACAGTCAGACACGACAGGCCTTAATGTCAGGGGAAAACCTTTACCTTTACCTAGACCAGTGGTTCTCAACCTGGGGGTCGGGACCCCTGGAGGGGTCACAAGGGAGTCACAAAGGACCATCAGAAAACACAGTATTTTCTGTTGGTCATGGGGGTTCTGGGAGCCCCGGTGGTGCAGTGGGTTAAAGCACTGAGCTGCTGAGCTTGTAGATCGAAAGGTCGCAGGTTCGATTCCGGGGAGCGGCGTGAGCTTCCACTGTCAGCCCTAGCTTCTGCCAACCTAGCAGTTCAAAAACATGCAAATGTGAGTAGATCAATAGGTACCGGTCCGGCGGGAAGGTAACGGCGCTCCATGCAGTCATGCCGGCCACATGACCTTGGAGGTGTCTACGGACAACGCTGGCTCTTCGGCTTAGAAATGGAGATGAGCACCACACCCCAGAGTCAGACATGACTGGACTTAATGTCAGGCGACTACCTTTACCTTTACCTTATGGGGGTTCAGTGTGGGATGTCTGGCCCAATTCTATCATTGGTGGCGTTCAGAATGCTCTTTGATTGTAGGTGAACTATAAATTCCAGCAATTACAACTTTCCCCAGACTCCACCAGTGTTCACATTTGGTCATATTGAGTATTCGTGCCAAGTTTAGTCCAGATCCATCATTGTTTGAGTCCACAATGGTCTCTGGATGTAGGCGAACTACAACTCCAAAACTCAAGGTCAATGCCCACCAAACCCCTCCAGTATTTTCTGTTAGTCATGGGAGTTGTGTGTGCCAAGTTTAGCCCAATTCCATTGTTGTTGGAGTTCAGAATGCTCTTTGATTGCAGGTGAACTATAAATCCCAGCAACTACAATTCTCAAATGACAAAATCAACCTACCTCCAACCCCACCAGTATTTGGGCATATCAGGTATTTGTGCCAAATTTGGTCCAGTGAATGAAAATACATCCTGCATATCAGATATTTACATTATGATCCATAACAGTAGCAAAATGACAGTTATGAAGTAGCAACGAAAATAATTTTATGGTTGGGGGTCACCACAACATGCAGAATTGTATTAAGGGGTCACAGCATGAGGAACGTTGAGAACCACTGACCTAGACTCATATAACCCAGTTCAAAACAGATAACGTGGATTATCTGATTTGATGAAATACTGTAGATTATATGGTCCTGTCGAAGAGGGTTGATGCAGGATGATAAAGAGGGGGGGAGCCCACCATACATTCATTCTGATTCCAGTATAAACCAGTAGTCGGCCTTTTGGGGGGATGTCTCCCCTTAAGGTCCATCTGCACTACTTTCCCTCTGTTCTCTTGCCACCTATAACAGACGGATACAATTACATAACTGGGAATTAAAGGGGAGTCACTACCTTGCCCTCCCTGGCCCACTTCCAACTTACTGCGAATTAAGGAGATGCCTGCGAACCAAGGAAGGGCTTGAAAAGCTGAGATGCCGGAGAGGAAAAAGGGACAGAAGCAATCCCCTTGTGTTTGTTATCAGGAGCTCCAGCTTCAAGGGGAGGAAGGAGGAAATGCATTTGCCCAGGGAGCTGGCTTCAGCTTTCGCTTTCTTATTTCCGCCTATTCATTCCAGGGAAGGGTTTACAAGGAAGTAAGCTCTTAAAATCATGCCAGGGGCTGCTGTGTGATTTTTAGTTCTGAATATGCTTTTATGGATTTCAACTAAAATTTAAAAATACCAATGATATTTAATTCTGTTTTAATGTGTGTACATTTCTAGATTTTTCAATTAAAGTAAAGGCAAAGGTTTTCCCCTGACATTAAGTCCAGTCATGTCCGACTCTGGGGGTTGGTGCTCATCTCCATTTCTAAGCCGAAGAGCCGGCGTTGTCCATAGACACCTCCAAGGTCATGTGGCCGGCATGACGACATGGAGCGCTGTTACCTTCCCGCCTGAGCGGTATCTATTTTTTTTAAAAGAATAATCTTTATTGAGTATCTAAAAAATTACAGTTAAAACATTTATAGATGTTAATAGAAAAGAAAAAGAACGAGAGAGAAAGAGAGAGAAAGTAGAACAAAAAAAGAAAAGAGAAAGAAAGAAAGAAAGAGAAAGGAGAGAAGAGAGAAGAAAGAAATAAAAGTATATGTGTGTGTGTGTGTGTGTATGTATGTGTGTGTGTATCTCTCTCTCTCTCTCTCTCTCTCTCTCTCTCTCTCTCTCTATATATATATATATATATATATATATATATATATATGTAAATAAAGAACTTTTTGACTTCACGACCGCTTCCTGTGGTCTAAGTTTTTTTTTTTCTTCCTTCCTCTTCCTCTTCTCCTCTCCTCTCCCTCTTCTCTCATCTCGATTCTCTTTTCTGCTTCCTTGGAAACTAGGACATGGAACAATGGCTTCAAACTACAAGAGAGGAGATTCCACTGAACACGAGGAAGAACTTCCTGACTGTGAGAGCCATTCAGCAGTGGAACTCTCTGCCCCGGAGTGTGGTGGAGGCTCCCTCTTTGGAAGTTTTTAAACAGAGGCTGGATGGCCATCTGTCAGGGGTGATTTGAATGCAATATTCCTGCTTCTTGGCAGGGGGTTGGACTGGATGGCCCATGAGGTCTCTTCCAACTCTTTGATTCTATGATTCTATGATTCTCTTTCCTTTTATTTATCTCTTCCTTTACTACAGTATATTCTGGCGTATAAGACTACTTTTTAACCCAAGAAAATCTTCTCAAAAGTCATTGGTCGTCTTATACGTGGCTGTAGTCTTATGCATGGGAGTCGTCTTAACTCTATATTTTAACTGGAAAAGTTGGGGGTCGTCTTATACACCCAGTCGTCTTATATGCCGGAATATACGGTAGATCAAAATCTTCTCTTTTCGATTGAAGTATTCCGTTACCTCGTCCCAATTTGTTTCTTGCATTTGTATTCCTTTACTTCTTGCTATAAGAAAAGTGAGCCTGTCCATATTCTTTATCTCCAATATTTTTGTTAGTCTCTCGTTTTCGTCTGGAATATCCATCTGCTTCCATCTCCCGGCATAGCATATTCTTGCTGCCGTTGTCATTAAGAACAAAAGTTTATCTGAATTTTTCTCGATTTCTAAATCGTGCATTCCCAACAAGAATATTTCTGCCTTCCATGGTATATTTATCATCAAAATCTTTTGTAATTCTTTCTGCACCTCCTTCCAGAGCGGTATCTATTGATCTACTCACACTTGCATGTTTTCGAACTGCTAGATTGGCAGAAGCTGGGGCTGACAGTAGAAGCTCATGCCACTCCCCAGATTAGAACCTGCGACCTTTGGTCAACAAGCTGAGCAGCTCAGTGCGCCATCGGGGGCTCCAGGTTATAGAATAAAATCATAGAGTTGGAAGAGATCTCGTGGGCCATCTAGTCCAACCTCCTGCCAAGAAGCAGGAAAATCACATTCAAAACACCCCCAACAGATGTCCATCCAGCCTCTGTTATTTATTTATTTATCGTGTCAAGAGCATACCAAACAGTTATATTGCATTTTTAACAAACAAACAAACAAAACACAAAGTTTGCAAGCTTGGTAGTTGATTAAATGTCCTTTGACCAGTATCTGGCCACTTGGAGTGCCTCTGGTGTTGCTGCAAGAAGGTCCTCCATTGTGCATGTAGCAGGGCTCAGGTTGCATTGCAGCAGGTGGTCTATGGTTTGCTCTTCTCCACACTCGCATATCGTGGATTCCACTTTGTAGCCCCATTTCTTAAGGTTGGCTCTGCATCTCATGGTACCTGTTCTGGTACGGCTGTACCAGGAG